AGCGACTGCAGAATAGCCCTCCCTGGTGATGACCCCTTCTTTCCATTGGGTGTATGCCTCCTTTTTAGCAAGAAGACATTCCTGGATGCTTTTGGTGAGCCATGGAGGCTTGTGTGCTCTCCTGTTCCCTTTGATCCTCATTGGGATTACCTTCCTTTGGGCTTGGAGGATCGTCTCCTTAAGGAGCGACCACTCTCCTTGGACACCTGGCTCCCCTCCCCTCCGGGACCTCAGCGCTTCTCCAACTATCCTCCTTAGCTCGCTGAAGTTTGCCCTCCTAAAATCTAGGGCCGCTGCCTTACTGCATGCCTTTGCCACCTTTCGCTGGATGGTGAATTCCAGCAGGCGATGATCGCTGTCGCCCAGGTGGTCGAGCACCTGTCTTTCAGTGCTCCAAAAGTTATATCTTTGTACCAAACTTACTGCACTATGGGTAGATTCATTGAAGTCTTCTCCTTAGGTATAAATGTGTGCAGGATCATAACTTTTCAATGAACACCCTACTATTAACAACCTGGCCTATTATTTTTTTAATGTTGAATTTAAAACACCTCAATTACAGGGGCACTCTAAAACCCACTTAAATCTCCCCTCTTTCCACAACGTCCCTTCCTTCCCCCTCAACTTGTGGTGGTTAGAGGCAAAATTTAGATGTAAAGGAAACTTCTTCTAATTTATTTTGGACCACTAGACTTGGAATACTATAGACTTTGTCATAACATTTCTGTGCATGGGTATTTGGTGCCTTCACAGGAATGATAGAAAAAATGTCTTGCCACTAAGTAAAGGGAATCTAGTGAAAGTCCAGAATTAAATTTTATTGAATTAGGCCCCAAATACTAAGAAAGGGGTGGGCAAAACATGGCTTCTGGGCTGGAACTGGCCTGCTAACTCATTATATTTGGCATGGGGGCAGGTGTCTGTCAATTGATTGGATTGCCGCCATGGTGTGTTCCACATGGGGCTGAGCCCTGCCCCCTCCAGCCTGGGGCAGCCATGCTCCCTCCTGCACCTGCCACAGTTCCAGCCCCAGCCCTGGTCAATGCACAGAGCTTCTTGGCTGGGCTGCTTCTGGTGCAGCTGCAGCTGCCTGGGTACTTCTTGGCTGCTCCTGCCTCCAGTGGCTCCTTCTCCTCCTCCTGACCCTGCCGCACTGTTCCTGGTGAGGGGGAGCAGGGTAGGAGAGGGGAAGCTGCAGCTGGGCTCCTGCTCCAGCACTTGGGGCTCCAGCTCCTGACTGCCTTCCACTCACTTGCCCACACAGTGCAATGAATAGCCACTTGTGGGTGGCTGAGTGGGTGCAAGGCAGTGAGGAGCTGGAGTCCCATGTTCTCGGGCAGGAGTTGCCTGGCTGTAGGCTGTGGCATGCCAGCAGGGGGCGCTCCTGCACTGAGCCACCCATCTCACTGTGCCTGGCCACCTACCAGGCTCCTAGTGTCTCCCTGGGGTGCCTCACATCCTGCCAACTCCCTTTCCCAGAGCACACTTGTGAGCCTGGGGTCACCACCCAGGAATCTTGGTCTGTCCACAGCCCTGTGCCCCCTGGGATGCACAGGCCTTGTAGACCTTGAGGGTGTTCGACCCACTGCAAGAACTTGGGGTGCTTTCCTTGGCCTGGAGCAAAAGTAGTGGTCTCTCTTAGCTGGACCAAGGAGACACAAAAGCATGCCCCTTTCCCTCTCCCAGCCAGTTCACCACGCTTAGAATGATGGCGAACTTTACTGATTACAGGGAGTAGGTTTGGGGTAGGGTACAGGATAGAGCAATATCAAAGAATAGCCTTAAAGCAAACAGTGTGGCTAGGTAGCCATTGATCATACAACTGCTGTACTGCAAGCTATATATCTAGATAGATCTCAAATAGCTTCCTCACAAGTATCATCCAGAAGCTAATTCCTTTCCTCTGGAGGCAGGTAGTTTCTTGTGCGTCCAGTTTCGAGAGAGAGGGACAGGGCTGCAGCATTCAGCTGCTCTTCCTCTCTCCCCAGGAGCCTTAGGACTCCAAAGTGCAAGCTCTCTCCCTGCTTTCCAGCGTGGCTCTGCCAAAATGGCTTTCCAAGATGGCTCTCCCTCTCCTTCTTCATGGGGATCTCTTTTATCCCCTATTGTGGCCTCATTGCTAAGGTCCCACCAGGAACAGCCCCATTGGCTGAAGCCCGGTGCTTTCAAATGACATCACCGTTCCACCTGAGGAAGCTAGTCACATGACTTGCAGTGGCGGGAAACTTGAGACAAAGGGAGCAGGTTCCCCCTACCTCAGGAATTTACCTGTCCAGGTCACATAGGCAGAGCTGGTTGCTTAGCAATTGGACCAATAGACAAGTAAGAAGACAATAGCAAGGAAAAACCTAGTAGAAAGATCTGGGGAGATACTGGGAGGGCATTCTGCCACACAGGCCCCCACCTCCCCCCACCTAGAATGGAGCAACAGGGGCAGGGGCAGGAGGAGCCACTGGAGGCAGGGGGAGTTGAACAGCACCCAGGCAGCTGCAGCAGCAATATGAGCAGCCCCACTGTGAAGCTGCACACTCTGGCTAGGACTGGGATCATCTGGTAGGCATGGATGGCAGCACAGTGGAAGCAGGCAGGGCTCAGTCCCATGCAAAGCGCTGTGGGGGCAGCCGCGGGCTGGATGGAGGTGTGTGACTGCACTAGGGTTACCACATTTCCAGGTCCAAAAAAGAGGACACCTGTCATGAGGGGGAGCAGGGGAAATATGATGGTGGGAAGACAGTGACATGCTGGTGCCCTGCCCCTGCCCATTCTGTTGCCCCTCACTGACAAGCCACACCCACCCCCAGCCTTGCTGCTGCCCTTCACTTCGGACCCACTGACCCCCGCCAACCCTGCCACTGCCCTGCACACCCAACCAACAGTCTGTCCCGTCCCCCATTCCCTTCACTCCTGATATGCAGCTCCCTATCCCCCTCCCAGCCCTGGCACTGCCCCTCACTCCAGACCCGCAGCTCCCTGCACCCCTCCCAGCCCTGCCCAAGGCCCTCACTCCCAACCCACAACCCCCTTCCCCCCAGCTCTGCCAGTGCCCTTCACTCTCAACCTGCAGACCCCTGCCCTTCCCCCCAGCCCTGCTGGTGCCCTTCACTCTGGACCCGCAGTCCCCTGCACTGCCCCCCAGCCCTGCTAGTGTCCATCACTCCTGACCTGCAGCCCCCTGCCCCCTAGCCCTGCTGGTGCCCCTCACTCCTGACCTGCAGACCCCTGCACCCCCCAGACCTGCTGCCCAAGCAGCTCCTGTATTGCCTGCGTGCCCGCACTCTCTCTCTCTCTCTCTCTCTCTCTCTGCCTTGCCATGACCCCCAACAGCCAGTCACTTTGCCTGCTGCTCCCAGCCCCAAGTAGCCACCCTGGGAGAGCAGAAAACCCGGACATTTGTCTTATTTTAAAAGCCCACCCAGATGCAGCACAAGGGTTCAAAAAAGAGGAGATATTTAGGAAAACCTGGACGTATGGTAACCCTAGACTGCACCTACACCAGCACTGGAACTGTACCATCTGGGCAAGCTCTGCCGAGCATTCCCTCCTGCCGCCCCTTTCTTTTCCCACCCCCAGCCAGCTCCTGGCACTGAGTGCACCTCCTCCCCAACACATGCACATCCACTCTCTCCACCCCTCTACAACTTCCCCCACATGCAACCCCCCACACACTCCCATATGTACACCCAGATCCCCAGCCCCCACGATGTACGAGAACAAGGCTTTATTTTGAGCTATTATACAGTTGCCTCTATATACACTACTCAAAAACATAAATCAGGAGAAAAATATTTTTTGAAATAAAATTAAAATGTTACAGTAGATGTTTTATTTTTAGAATATGATTTGTTTTTTTATTCTATAATATGTTAAAATGGTATCTGCTAAAAGACTTTGTGTGTGGTCCTTGACAGCTCACCAAAACTCATTAAATGCCCTCTAGCTGAAATAATTGCCTACCCCTGTTCTAAGGGCCTCATTTATATAAATTTTTTTTTAAAGTTTTCTTGTTTTTCTATACAAAGAAGCTCAGACTTTTAATATAGCATCTAGAAAGATATGGAAGTAGAAACTAAGTGTGTGTTCATATGAAATCTGCTTTTTGGTGCAGAAATTTTGCTTCTTTAAAAAGGCCGATTTAGTTGAAGGTAGAGTGCACAGGAAAGGACAGAACAATTCAGCAGATTAGCATAAGGCTTCCCAGCCTTTTATCTATGCTTGCCAGTTCAAATTGGTCTAGGTTCATGGTGATTGAAAGCTGTTAGCGTCTGGTGTCTGTGCACTGACCTATGTGAAATAGGTTGATAGCTTGCAGTCCACTTCTTGTTGGAAAGGTGTCCATATAATACTAGGAGGTTGTATCCACAAAGGACAAGAGCTGAATAGTCTTTACAAAATAAATTACGCCTTTGTTGCTAAAAATGAACCTGTAGGCATATTGATTGAGTAGTATGGAGGAATATACTCTTTTACTTGCGTATTATTTGTTCTCTTGGTTTCACTGTTTAAGGCTGGCAGTATGACCCCTTTTAGAAGCACTGAATTCACCAAGGCCTCAGGCTTGCTAAAGGAAGGGATGATTATCTTGCATGGGTGGATTGTTTGGCAGAAGTGTGATTTTGAAGTTGTTATATTATTTAAAGTGAATCAGAATGTACTGCATGATCAGCTAGTTCAAGTAGCTATTTCTTTTTAATAAATGGCCAGGATTTTTAATGCATCTCTGCAGTCAGTTACATAACTATTGAGCGAGAAAAATTCAGTGTTCCAGACCTGTCTTTCCTCTCTTAGATTCTTATAGGGTCTGATTTGAAGTTTAAAGAAATTATCAGTAAAACTGCCCTTGAATTCACTGATCTTAGACCTAAAATTTTCAATTTATTCTACTTGCATTTTTTATCTTTATGTTGTACAGTAGCTATCCAGAATTAGAAAGTATGAGAGAGATTCAGTATTCTTACTATTCCCTCTTATTGATCAATATGAGAAGAAACATAGAATCATAGAAACATAGAACCAGAAGGGACCTGTAAGATCACCAAGCCTGGTCCCCTGCTGTGGGCAGGAAGTGACTGGGCTCAGATGAATTTGTTACTGTTATGCATGCTGCTCCATTTTACTTGAACTGTACATGGATATTTTGCATACTTGTGACTTGCAGTCATGGCCACTTTGGATGATGCCAGTGTAGTAGCTGATCTAAAAGGACACTATTTCTTCCCTTCTTCTAGAGCCCTGAAGGATGTGGGTTTATCTGAACATCAGGACAAACTAGTTGGTACCCTGTCTGGGGGAATGAAAAGGAAGCTCTCAATTGCCATTGCCTTTATTGGAAACTCAAGGACAGTCGTTCTCGATGAGCCCACCAGTGGTATAGATCCATGTTCACGGCGTAGCATCTGGGACATTCTCTTGAAGTACAGAGCTGGTACAAAACTGAGACAAATATTTTGTCAGCTAATATGCTTCCTAAGGTGCCTTGCCTAAGCCAAGGGGTGGTTCAAAATTATGTTTTTCAGTGAATGATTAGAAATCCGTATTTAGATGCAGCTGATCAAGTTTTAAAACAGCCAGCTAAAATTCAAAGTATTTCTTTCTGTTTCCTTAGGAAAGGCAGAGGATCTAATGGCATAAGTGCAAGATTAAATTTAGCCCTGAGGGCTGCCAATTCTGCCCTGGATGAAAAGTGTTATCCCCTGGCCTGACTACTCTGTACTTTTGCTTCTTTGCAGTCTTTCACTTTGTGTTTCACAGATGGCTGTATATATATGTCTAATGCTGGCACACTTACAGGTCTAGCCACTACAGAACTTAAAAAGGTTTTCCTTTAAAATGAGCTGCAAGAATGCAAGCTTCTGAGGGAACAGTCCCCCCCACCACTTCTGTGAATGATCCATTACAGCAGAAGCCATTGCTTTTAAGTATCTTTTAATCAACTTAGAAGCTTACAAATTGTATCTGCTTCACATTTGTCTTCAACTTTAGGTCCAGCTCTAAATTGCTCACTGATATTAGCCCTCAAAAAATTCAGGAAGTGTTTTATATGGGAAATAGAGGGTTACAGCCATGTTGCACAATTGTCCTGCATGATGTGCAATACGATATGGAAGCACCCTCTTCTTATAAGGGCATATGGCCAGCAGGAGATGTCTCTCATATGACCATGTTTTCACACAAACCTGAGTCACGTGTAGTGTTCTTCCTGGGGCAGGTCGCACTCTGGTTTTCACCACCCACCATCTCGATGAGGCAGAAGTGCTCAGCGATCGTATTGCTATCCTGCAGCATGGGCAGCTGCACTGCTGTGGCTCTCCCTCTTACCTGAAGGAAAAATATGGCCAAGGTCACAGCCTAACGCTCATTAAAAAGGTAGGTTGAGAAAACTTCTTACACCATATGCAGTGCCTGCCAAAGAACGGACATGCTTATTCTGAAGGCACCTTCCAATATTGTCAGTAACTTTTATATGCAGGATAAATGTCATGATTCTTATTTCTTATGTAAAACTGACAGCACTGCAAGGGTTGCTGTTGTTTGTTTTTGTAACTTTTGTTTCATGGCTATTTTATCTTCCATTGTTTTATCTTATTGAGTAACTTGGTGAGAATTTGGTGGAGTTGAGGTGAGGTTGTTGCCATGATGGTCCAGGAGATATGTTAGAAGCAAGAATTCTTTCAAAGTATTTTTCTGCCCAGCAGGATAGACATAGGCAAGCTTTTAGGTATCACAGTACCCTTCCTCAGGATCCAAGGCAGAAGTAGACACAGCTGAGCTAAACAGCAGGTTGAACAAATGCTTGTTAAATAGGGTTTTTATGGTAAGGATATGATCCTACTTAACAAGATTTTGTTCGATGTGTATTTAGGTCAGCTGTGTCTACTTCTGTCTCAGAGGCCTGGGGAAGGGTACTGTGATACCTGAGTGTTTGCCTGGGTCTGTATCAACCATTCAGTTGGTCCAGTAAAAGTATCACCCACAGAAATACTTGCTTCTCAGTGAAAAAGGTGCAAGTTCATATTTTGCTGAATAGGAGACACTGCTCACAAAATTAGGCTCCAGAGCTTCAGTGAAAATGCTCTCATGAGAGAGTGTTTCCTGCATTGGGTCCTTTATTTGTTTGCAGTCTGTCCTTTATTACCACTTTCTGGTGGCATTAAGCTCCATTTACTGTTATATTTCCCTTCTATGTAGCCCTCCATGTTTGAAATCCAGGATCCCAAGGATACTGTCCGAGTTACATCTCTGGTGCAGTCCCATCTACCAGAAGCATTCCTGAAAGAAAACAGTGGGAGTGAGCTGACCTACCTGATTCCAGGGGTGGCAGACAAGGCCTCCTTTAAAGGTCTTTTTCAGGCTTTGGATGAAAACCTTCTACATCTACGTGTGACTGGTTATGGCATTTCAGATACTACCTTGGAGCAGGTATTTTTGAGTCCCCTGCACATTTAGCTTCTAGTGGTTACTAATAGGTAACTGTCTTTTTTTTTCTAGCCTTCTTGGCCCCATGTGAATCAACTCATATTTCAGGACAGATTTTTGTGAGAAACGGGAAAGAACATCTTGTACAGAATATATATTTTAAAATGTTGTTGTATTATTAATTCGTAGCAACTGCTCTACACTTTAAACTGCTCTGCTGTCCAAAAGGCCTGATATAAGCTTCAAAGATGATATCATCCTCTGGAAGACTTGTTTTGGTTTTGGGAAGTGTTTATAGGATAGTGACATCCTAAAATCCCTGTCACCCAAAATCTCTAATGAAATCTGAAAACTTGCACCTTGATTACAGTGGCGGATGAAGCTGGAAAGATTGCTCCATACAGGTCTCCAAAGTTTAGCATGTGTTCTCTGAATCCTGACTGAAATGACCAGACTTCAGGAATTTGCAGAAGTGAGCTGATAAGGTCATAAGAATGGTCATTCTCTCAGATTTACTTGTGGGGTTTTTTGTATAACTTAGTCAAATTTATTACAGAAGCAGCCACTTGCATGGTCTCTACCACTTCTGATTTCAACATTCATACTTCTCAGTGCGTTATACCAGGCCTGAATAATTTTTATCCCAACTATATCAATTCATTATGAAATTCCCTAACCTACCTTTACTTAAGCAATGGACTCTAAATGCTTTTTAAAAATATCAGTTTTTCACTCATCAAATGATACAAGAATAAAAGTAGGATTTTTCAATAGCTGAGAGACAATTTCATTTGATGCCCAATCCACTCAGTAGTACTTCATAAAACTGCTTTCCCCAGACAGACAGAGAGGAGTGAAATCCAAAATGAGAATTTAAAGTGTGGCAGAGAATAAAACTCATAACAAGCTTATAAAATGCACATTTTGGGTTAGTAGTTCTTTGTGTAGTGTAACATACGTGTAACAGACCCTGTGTGTTAAAAGTATTAAACATTTTATGCAGTACCCACTTATCCCCATTCTCCCCTTTTCCTCTCCTCTCACCCCCCCCAGAAAAAATAAATAAATCTTGGATGGTTATAAGAAGGCAGAACTGGTCCACGTGAGTCATGAGCTAGGAACAGACATTCAAAAAGCCCAAGCCCGGATTGAGTCAATCTTTGCAAATTAGTCTAACCTGGCTAGGCTGAACCGGTTTGTAACTGGACAGACATTCTCTCTGAACTGAGGAAATTCAGACACATGCCTGCAGTGGCTCAGGCTAGAAGCCGGGGGTTGCTAGGGCAGCCCTCTGTTCTCTTGCTTAGTGCTGAGCTGAGTGGGGGGTGTGGCCAGGCCCTGGCAGCACCTCTGATTAGGGAGGTCTGCCTGCACAATCCCAGGCTTTTCTCTGGTGGCTGCTCAAGAGGCGGGAGTGTTACCAGCCCCCAGCTAGCACTCTGAGGCAAGGGGAGGTGTGCAGTGTGTAGCAGGGCACTAAAGTGCCTGCTACTTGAAGAGCAGGAATGGCCACCAGGTGCCGGTTGCCAGGGCAACCAGGAGCTAAGGGCCCACATCTGTTGAGTCAGCTGACCGGAAGGGGCAGGGCTGACTTCTATAAAGCACAGGCTGGAGGCCGAGAGTGGGCTCTCGGCTGGCAGCCAAGGAGAAGGAGTGCTGCCTGACTAAGCAAAGGGGAAAGGCCTGAATGCGAGCAGTCAGTTGTGCTAATGAAGGATGGAGCACCCATGGAGGGCGACTCAAAGGAGGTTAGCTGAGCAGTTTAGCTCTGTGTTATAGCCCAGGGGCTTGTGTTATTGTTTTGTTGTTGTTGTAAGACCGGAGGACCAAGTAAGGTTATAAGGGGATGGAGGAGGGCTCATAGGGGAACCACGGCTGCATGGAGACCCCAGAGAAGCCCTGGGGGGGTGGGCTGCAAGAAGCCCCAGAAAGCCGTAGCGCCTGTGGAGCGTGATTGTAAGACAAGGCTGTAGAAAGCCAGAGCGCCTGTGAAGCATGACTCTGAGACAAGGCTGTGGAAGCCATAGTGCCTGTGGGGCACATGTCAGAGACAAGGCTGTGGAAGCCAGAGTGCTTGTGGGGCGTGATTGCAAGACAGGGCTGTGGAAAGCCAGAGTGCCTGTGGGAAGTGATTGCGAGACAAGGCTGTGGAAAGCCAGAGTGCCTGTGGGGCGCAGGTCCGAGACAAGGCTGCAGAAGCCATAGTGCCTGTGGGGCGTGATTCCAAGACAAGGCTGCAGAAGCCAGAGCGCCTGTGGGACACAGCTGAGAGACGAGGGCTGCGGAGAGCCCAAGCTCCAGAGAGGGCGCAGAGAGTGAGATAGACCAAACAATGTCTGGTACATCTTCGAGGCTTGGGGCATGGTACAGGGGTGGTTAGAGCCACGAATTGCCCATAAGGCTGGGGTGTTTGGAACCCCGTTGTATAAACAAGGATCAGGGTAGTAGGAACCGTCACCAGGAAGATGAGGCAACTTCCCTTTTACTTTCAGAAGATCAAGACGTGGTGGGCAAGACTGAGGGTGCGTTAATGCAAACTTGGCACGGTAGGGGGCGCTAGGGGAGAGCACGGCAACCCTAGGATGTTTCCCCCCACCTGGTACACAGTGCATGCATCTGTTGATGATATGGAGCTTTTCAATCTCCCTCTCCCTGCTTCTTTATAATGTTTGCAGCAAACTGACAGAAAGCAAGCCAGCATGGGGATGATAACAGTGTTTATCACCCCATTAGGAAAACAATAGCCTTTCTCCATTAGTTCAAACTCTTCTTAAGCAGCTTACCAGCTGACTTGTTGATTAGCTCCAAAAGTCCTATGCAGTCACTGTTCTGTCTGCCTATCCCAGTGAAATTGGAAATGCACACAAACACCTCTCAGCATTAGCTAGCATACCACATGCCTTGGGTCTGTGGGGCTGGGGTCTGTGCTGTGGGATTTGGAAGAGAGGAAGAGGGGGATTCCCGCTTGAGCAGCGAGGGGGAGGGGAGGGCAGGGGGAAGCCAGGGAGACCCTGCTGTGTCTGCAGTCTCTGCCTGAGCTCCAGTCAGGGAATAGAGGGGAGGGGCCAGCTCTGCTGTGGAGCAAGGAGCCCCACCCAGCTCAGAGAGCATGCTGGGATGCTGGGGGAGTATGGTTTATCTTAAACCAGCAAGGGGTCTGGAACAGACATTGCATAAACTGGGTTGACCCAAATTAGTTAAGTCTGATACTACATTCAACCAGGTTGATCTGAAACTGGTTTCAGCCATTTTCAAACTGGTTTATGTGCACTGAACATCTATTCTGTTACAGGTGTAAACCAGTTTCTGATCACTTAAACCAGTTTATGTGTAATGTCTGTCCCTAGCCATGGAGTCCATGCCTGGGCAACCACAGAGATCCAAAAGAGCCCACATGAACACCCACTCTGCCCCCTTCCTTCCTCCCCACACACATCACTTGTCACAAAGCGGCCTCTGATGCCATGTAGTTGACTCAGGATTATTAGGTACAAAAAGCCAAAGGCCTCTCAGACTCCCGTAATGTACTATGGTGTGCCACGTGGAGAGATCAGGAGAGGTAAAGGGTCCTAGCCGGGCTTGTGGCCTTGCTGCAAAATCTAAGAGTAAGTAGCAGACCTCCTGAGTGCATCTTGTTGAAGATAGAGGAGCTGGGATCTGTCTACTACATACCCTCAAATCAGAAACATAAGAGGCAGTAATAATGAGAAATTTTAATTTCTCTCGTATCTATTTGTAAATACAGCAAAATGCGAAAGGATGAATCCTATTTCACCTTTGCTTGCCAAAGTGATGCTTACATAGCTCTGTAAGTGCTATTCTTGGTACCTAAATGGCATTTGGATTCTATTTGCGGCAGGATGATTGCCCACCCTCCAGCACACCCCTGAACCTGCTTCCAAAAGGGAAAGATAGGTTGGGACCAAGAAAAGAGTAGTCCTGAGGAAGTGCAACTTGATAAGATGGACATTGCCCTGGAAGGGATGGGCCCTGGTTTCTGGCTCCTTGCATTTTATATTGCTTGGATAAAATGGCATATGCAGCAGTGGATTCATTGTCCCATAAAGTCCTTTCCAGCCAATAATTCTTAAGAGTTTTTTCAAAACAGATTTGTTCATTTTGGATTCCAAATGATTAATATAAGCAAGGAAGCATAATAATTTCCTTTAAAATGGGATCACAACTAAACAAGCCCATGCCCAAAATACAAAGCTAAAAGCTATGTAAAATGGATAACGCTCTTTGGAACAGGGACCTTCTTGCTATTAAATTAGATCACAAAACCTAGTGCAGTGGAGCAAGAATTAGTAACTGCAATAAGGGTAATAACATCAACAGAAATATCTGTATGGGCTTCATAATTAGCATGTACAATTAAACAACAAATTATATCTGTGCTCTAGAGTTCTATGAGGTGATGTGAGTCTAGAAGCTTATTGAATGGTGGTCATTCTCTCTTAAGTTAGTGATTAACATACAACATAAAAGACTACCAGAGGGTTTTAGACAATTTATATAAAACTTTTCTGCTGGCTTGTTTCATTTGCATGGAATTCCTCAGGACTTTTTCCTAAAGAGGCAACTGCAAAAGCAAACATAAAGCAGTCACAATAAATATATAAGCTTCTTAGAATACTCCTTCTGTGTCATTCAATTTAAGGGTGCTACTCTAGGTGACTTCCTGCAGAAAAGTAAGAAAAGCTTTCCAAAATGGTAGTAGGTACTGATACATTGTTCTGCGGTTTAGACATTTAACATATTAATTTGGTGTGATTTCTATCATCTCTGCATGCTCATCATTAACTGTTGTTACCAGCTTCTTTCTTCATTTTCTTATCAAAAGCCTCTTTATGCTGGCAACTAAATAGAAAGCATATAATAGTGCTATTGAGTCTATTCAAACAATTCAATCTGGAAACAAAGAATTCTGACTCTAAAAGGAAAATATATCAAATTATTTTTTGTACAGTATTCCTCTCTGTTTTCTTTCAATTGGTTGTATGGGACATTTGCATGCTTTAAGAATCTTAACCCATTAAGGGACATCATATGATCACAGGCAGTATCTTGATGATCTAAGGCAATGTGTCTTAACTGCTTCAAACCCTTTTCTCTCTTCTTCTTGCTGTGTTTGATTTTTAGCTATAGTCAGAAATGGATACTAAAGAGTTTAAACATAAAGGCAATCCAGAAATGTTAGCAGATGTGGTAGATTTGAAATTGTGATTTATTAAAATAACCTTCATGTTTAAGGCTGATTGGAGAGTGACACTTCCTTAGGATGAGTATTTCTGAGGTTTCAAAACATTGCATTGAGTGTTCTGTCCAACTGCTGATAATATTAATGCAGTGTTAATTTATTTTGCACACAGTTTGGAGTGCCTGTTTGTAAAAATGGTGGTTTCTGTGATCCAGGAGCTATGTGGTGTTCCCTCTTCTAAATGTTATACTGAAATAAACATGCCCCTGTTGTTGGCCAAGCAAAAAACTTGTGCAACAGTTTCATTTGCCTGAGCACAGAGGTGGTTAGCTATGTTAGTCTGAAGTGAGGCAGAAGGGAAGTCAGAGTTGTACCTTGAGCCCCTGACAGACTTTACATGTAAGATGTGATGAACATGTCTTAAAGAGTGATCTGGCTGTGCATTCATTCAAGTAATAGTGTGATAAATCCAGGAATAAGCCACAAAGGTGTTACATGAAATGTGTAATAACTTTGTGGGTGGTTCCTATCACACCTTGAATTGAATCCCTTCAGGACTCCTGTGTGTTTCAGAGGCTGGGAGCCCCAATCAGCTGATGGGCGCTCCCAGCCAGGAAAGTGGTATCAGATTCAAAAGGCTCCATGTGCTCCCCTGAGACCCTAGGTCAGCTGATCAGAGAGCTGAGCTTGCTCTTTGCTGGTGCAGGTGTGATGGGATCTGATCATGATTTGTGGCTCCCCCTGCACTGGTAGCATCGCACAATGGGATCTGATGCTCAGTCCTATAGTTGTGCCTCCTGCCATACATGTGTGGCATGGCAGGAAGTATAATTGTTGGGATCATGCATCAGATCCCATCGTGCCTTTAATTTAACATCTGTCAGTGGTGATAGAGACTAACTGGTTTAAAGAGGCATGAACCTCTTAAATAGACAACAAGATACTTTGTATGATGGATCTTATGAAGTAGATTATTGCCTATTAAAGCTCATGTCTCTCTGAACCAGTGACTAGGGTGGCACCCTGGCCTACTTTCTGCCAGTTTCTTTGTCAACTCAAAAAACCCACAATTAATGGGTGTAAGCATACTCCTGCACGTTTAAGATCAGTGGGCATTTGCCACTAGCTTCAGTTGCAGCTGTACTGTACTGTGTTGACTACTCACTGTACTGAAGAAAAGATAAAAATGACATAAATAAAAAGTGTAATCAGAGAAGAAAAATTTGCCTCTAGCTCTGACATGAGGAGGAGAACAGGGGGAAAGAAGTTTAAAGTGAAATAGATTAGGGCCATAGATTTTGAAGAGATTGAAGTGTTTCAGAAATTGGAACCATCCCATGAATATGTGACCTGAAAATAGCCAGCTATCATTCCAAAATTACAGCCACAGAGCCATGCAACATATAAACATGTCTAAACCTGAAGCTGAGTAGTCTCAAAGGCAGGGATTTACAGGTTTGCAGGTTTGGTTCAGGGGTATCTCGATCTCAAAATGTACAAAGAACAAAATATGTTACATTTTTAAGTTCCTTGTTGTATTTGGCATAGCCTTTATTAGTCTCAGAGAGGGCAGAAGAAAAAGCGTTGAGGAAAAGCTTAAGCATGGGTTCCCTACAGCGTGTTTACATTTCTTGTTGCTTTCCCCTATTCCTCCCTGTTTTCTATTTTTAGGTGTTTTATGTTTTTTGCTTATGTGCTCACTTGACTCTCTCTCCCACCAGCTGTCCTCCAGAATCTTGGCTGCCCTTTCAGTAGTGGTTTGTTGTCCACAGTTACTTTCTATTTGTGGGGGGGAAAAAGGTGGCCTCTCCAGGATTGACGTTAGAAATGGGAACAGAAGATCAAGAAAAGCTTCCGAGATGGTAGACCAATGCTTTTGGGTTTGCAGGAAGAGTCAACATCTTTTGTTGTTCTCTTCTTTTACCAGCTGCAGCAGAGACTGCTTTCATAAGGCAGGCTCGTTGTAGCTGGCAGCAGTGTCCTCTGCACACTGTGCTGCTCTGCTCAGGCTCCTTCTTAAGGGAGAGACCAGGTAGCAGAGGTAGGTTTTGGCCAGGATAGTTAGGACTGCTGAATGACAGGCAAATTAGCCTGTGCCCCCACCATCGCCCGGGCTAATTAGCCAGTCTGCAGCATCACATGAATGCTTCTACTCTGCTTTCTGTTTAGGAAGTGGCTTGTGAAGGGCAGCATGGTGTGCTTGGTGATGCAAGAAGCTTAGTGTGTTGACCTGGCCTACATTTTTCCTTCTCCTTCCTGCCTGGAATAGTACAGGGCTTCAGTGGGGGATGGTAGAGGGAGCCATGCCTCCACCTCCCTAAATATGGCTTGGCAGCAACATTCCCATTCAGAAAGCTATTATGTCACAAACTTCCTGAGGGACAGTGGGTAAATTATAATCTATGTGCCTCAATCTCCATCAGTTAAATAGGGTACTGATCATTTCTGACTCATTAACAGTAGTGAGGGACTTGCCAATAGAAAGGAAAATACTCCTCCCTAATTATTTCAATCTCATTGCTGTGTTTAGCCTAGTATTGTTTGTAGTGGTGGAAATGGGTATACATCAGTGATAGAATCACATAGGCCCAAAGCAACCAATTAAATGTAGGCCTGGACAATCAAAATCTCCCTCTAGTATCTAATATAACAAAGGCAAGAGACATTTAATTTCTATTGTGCTCACTCTAGTTAACAGCCAGAAATGTTTACTGGAAGTTGACGGGTAGCTATACAATCGATAATCGCTATTAAACAGCAATTATATTGACTAAACAAAGCAAAATCCATCTAACAGACAGACCTCAATGGAGCTAAAAACAGCCTTTTCACCAGGATAAAGAAATTAAAATAGACTGGCTTTTATAGCCCTTTGTATGGACTCTTTGGGTGCTTTAAGGGTTTTTTCCCTTTGTTGTAGCCAATATTGGATTCCTTTGTTGGAAGAGTTAAACGCTAGTGTGACAGTAACGTTAGGGTAATGGGGGTGCTGCTGGTTTGAAGCAGTTAACTGTTTTATCTGTTTAACCTACCTTTGCCTTTCTCAGTAATGCCTCCTTCCCCTATCCTTTTCTCCCCCTTTCCCTATCCTTTGTATTTAAATTACTTTGTTCCTTTCTATGTATTGCCATTGCTATGAATAGACCTACAGACAGCATCTGAAGTCAGCTGTTGCTTACAAAAGCTTGTCTTTGTGAATGAACCAGTCTCTAAGGTGCCACCCTTCCTTGCCTTCTGCCTGACTTCAGACTAACATGGCTAACTACCTCTCTCTATTTTTATTATAATTGAGGCCTTTCAAACAAGTTTCCATGATATACCCTTAAACTGATTTAGTGAGTACAACTTTGGTGGGGATGGCTACTGCATTTGCTACAAAATGTGTATTTCAGCAGTGTTTCTGCTCTCAGAGAGCTAAATTTTCCCTTGAATTTCTCCCTTTTGCTGGAGCTGCTGGGTTCAGGATTCTGTAGGGTTTTGTGGTTTGAGTTGGGGGCATTCGATGTGACAGGGTAGGGAACTAAGAAATTTCCATGGGGTTGGTCGATGCCCCTCTAAAATATAAGCAGGGAGTTAATGCTGCTTCATGGAAGCATGGGATGCCTATACATGCGCAAGGCAGGCATTTCAAAAGATGCTGTAACTTTTGCGCTTTACTTACAGCACTTTAAGTATAACACCTTAAAACTTAATAGGCATTCCACAGTTTTGCGCAAGTTTCATGCCTTGCTGTACTTCTATAGAGGAGGAGGCAGGGAGTGCTGGATATTCTTTTGAGAAATATGCTGATATTGGACTCCAGAGCTAGGTACACCTGGTGGTAGCAAGTAGTAATTATCACTTTGAAAAGCCCCAGTTAAATACACATGCAATAAAGGCAAACTAGGTAGGCCGAGTTGCACTACTGCAGTTCGCCTTACATTTAAAACGCATACAATAAAGTTTATTAAGGTGACTGCCACCATTTTAAAAATGTTCTAAATTTGCCCATGTGTATTAAGTGAATGCTTTAAAATGTATTAATGGTGCAAATCATCACATGTATGGGCACCTATAAACTCCAGAACCCTATATCCAGCCCCTAACAATCTATGAATCTATAAATGCTACAGCTCAGAGGTAGGGAGGCCTAGTCTGTAGTGACCTAGCTGTGACTGAGCTTTGCCCTTAGAGGGCAGAGTGCCAGTACAGCAGTGTGAAAGGGCCAGGAGCTCTTCGTGCAGATGCTTTTGAACCTGCGGGACACTTACTGTTGTTTTTTCTTTCCATGGTCCTACCCTTGGGGGAATGATCTATGATATTTCAAAGTAATTACATTGTCTGGGTACATTATAGCAGTGCTTCAGCAAAGTAGGGCTGGTACAGTCATTTCTCAGTAGAGATATTGTGAGGTGAAGCTTGAAAGCTGATCTGTAGGAAACTGGATCTAATTTCTTTTTCTGTTTCCTGAAAGGTGTTTTTGAAGTTACTGCAGGACACAGGGAAGAAGCCATCTGTGCCCTTGGCAATAGACTTGGAGGCCCCAATTGCTAATGGTACTGAATCAACCTATCAGAAATGTAAGTAAAAAAAAAATAAATTCTATGTCTTGCTTCAAAGCAGCTGGTTTTAGAAAGGTGAGAGGCCTACAGTTAATCAGGCTAAAGCCTCCCTACATTTGGCAGCATGTGTGAGAGGAGTGGGCTACTGTAGGTCATCACAATCCTGTGTGATGTCTTCTCACGTGTAGTATTCAGAGGCATCTAGATACACCACTTGGGATTATATGCTTCACAAACTTGCCCTAGCTTACTTTCAGACTGACATGGCTAGAGCAGAGCTTGTAATCTTTTTTTAGCTACTTCTTTCTCTGTCATCATGGACAGCATTACCATCAGGTTCATCATTCAGGCCCAATAATTTAGATGTCATCTTCAACTTAGACCTATTGCAAGGTCTTCACAATTGTATAAGTATTGCAGATTCTTTCTGCATGACATCTCTAAAATATACACTCTTCCCTTTCCCATCTACACAGTTGAAACTCTCATCTGGTTATTTAGTGTCTTAGGGCAGCTGTAGACATGCAGAGGTTGCTCCGATGTGCTGTAATTATGGTGTGTTGGGCAGACTTGATTAATCGAGCCTGACAGTGTGTGCTAATTAGCATGCCTCCAGCAGCCTCTGTGTCTCATGTATTAGTGACCCCACGCTCCAAAATGGTGGCAGGGGCGCTTTAACTCAAGCTCTTTTGGTGAGCTTTAGTTAAAGTGCTCCCACCACTGTTTTGAAGCGAGGGGACGCTGATGCATGGTACACTGTTAGTGTTTTAATTAGAACACCTCACCCCCTTGGAGCATGTGTAAAAATCCTCTTAGTTGCTGTAACCTTCTTTTCTCTGGCTTTGACAACTGTAGTCTTACCATGCTTACATCCCTTCAGAACACTGGTTGAAGATCACCATGTGAGCTAGTTGCTTTGACTATATTAGCTCTATCTTAGCATCCCTGCTCTGCATCCCTCATCTGCATTGCATCAACTATAAGTCATTTGTCTTTGCTTTCAGGAACCTTGGTGGCCTGTGCCCTGCCTGTCCCACATTTCTGTATCCAAAAGTCAACTCCCATCTCCAGTCAGCCCTGGACATTGGCTTCTTTCACTCACTTGTTTAAATTTTAGAATGAGCTCCCTCACATTTGGGGGTGGTTTGTATAAGGAGCTGGAAAGCCACTTTGTTGTTTTCCTCAAAAAGCCTCCTTAGTACTCTCCTTGCCTGTGGTGCTTACAAAAATCTTGACAAGTGCAAACTCTGTGGGTGGCATGTTCAAAAGCATTCCTTGCTGACCTTGTTCAGCTCCCACAGCAGTGTGTGGGAGTTTTACATTGACTTCAGTGGAGCAACTAAAGCAATGCTGAGCACTTTAGAACATGTCCCTCTGTAGAGTTTTCTATTTTGTGATTTTCCCTACCTCAGATAGCATGAGGTTTGAACCAGCTTCCAAGTGAGGTGGTGCAGGCTCCCACCCTGGGGGTTTTTAAGAGGAGGTTGGATGACCACCTTACTGGGGTCGTTTGACCCCAGTGCTCTTCCTGCCATGGCAGGGGGTCGGACTAGATGATCTGCTCAGGTCCCTTCCGACCCTAGAAACTATGAAACTATGAAACATCACATTATAAATGCCCTGTGGTGACCATCTCATTGATTGTCTTTTTCTGCGTCTACTTGCCTCTTATCATATACTTATGGAGCTAGAGATGATAAAATGAAAGCAACAAGGCGCCCTTTGGAAAAAAAAATACTAAAATAAGAAAAAATCTCTATGTGAAATGACAACAGGTGCTGTATTATATATATAGTTTTAGATATCCCTTTATTTTAGGACTAATTAAAAACAAAGTTCCATGGCACATATCGAGTTAGATAACTTTTAGGAAGTCTCAGGGCAGTTTATCGAGCTGTTTGTCCCCTGCACATCACATTTTCATTAATGTATACAAATTGAAATGTATAAAGTAATCAATGTTTGGCCTCCACTGTACCTTATAACTTAAGATAATAGCCAGCTATTTTTCAGAACATATAGATATGTATTTATTAGATGTGTCACATAATTAAAGAAACCATTAATTAGAAGCAATAGTTCTTATTTCTGAGGCTGATAAATTACTGTAAGAAAATGTGATAATAATGCTATTTCTGTGGGGAGAAGGATGGAGAGAAATTTTCATTCATGGAAGATGACTGTCATTCATCATTAAGGACAGTTGTGAAGTGTAGGCATAAGGGATTTGGGAGTTGGTCATGAAAGGGATCCATCTTTGTCAGAGTTAACCAGAATACTCCATGGGCAATAGCTTGACCTATATACTTTTGTCTTTGAAAGCAGACTCAAAGACAGTCAAACTTTCTGTTTGGCAGAGTAGTTCAATGAATTTTGGCAAAGCCCTAGAGCGAACAGCTGGATTATTTAAAAAGATCACAGGATTCTCCTATGCAAATTAAGGGAACTGGGATTGAGATGACACATGGTGGCTAACACCAACGAGGGTAACAGGTATAGGTATTGCATCAAAGCCCAGTGCAGAAGGGCTATAACCCTGTATACATGGCCTGTTCAATACTGAATTATCATAGTTACCCATGGGGGCCTTATCTCATACTTGCAGTCTTTAATGAACCTATTTTCACAACATACCAGGCACAGTTCTTTTGTTCTGATGTTACAAGTTGGAAACTGGGGTACAAATACTGAAGGTTATGACAGGACTTAGTTGCCTTAAATAGGACTTGGGTAGGCATTAGCACCCAGCTGCCTTCCCTGCCCCCTGCCACACAGGTCCCAGGACTTTGTTAGGAAGCAGGGGGTGGGGCTGTCCTCCACTTGTGGCAGTCCCAGGACCTCCATGGCATGGGGCAGGGAAGGCAGCCAGCTCCATTGTGCAGGGCTTCTCCCAGTGGCACATAAGTATGGGAGCTGCATATGTGCTGCATGGAGCCCCTCGCGATAGAGGCAGGCCAGCCTCCATGTCCTCACATGCAGTGCTGGGTAGAGCTGTGCATCACTGGGTGGCAGCACCTGTATGGGGTATGAGTGCTGTAAATAAAAAGGGAGGCAAGAATGAACCAGAATGGCTATATGGCAGTTATTTGAGCCAAATAGCTGTTGGAGGGGGTTGTATGCCATGGGGAGGAAGATTGTGGAGGGTCCCCATGCCCCCCCCTTGCACCTAAAAAATACCACACACGCACACCGTGCTCTAGCAACATCCCCACATATACACAACTCCCCCAACATACCCTATTGCCCCCACACCTTCCCACACTCCACCATACACACACCTACCACAAACCACACCCCCTCAAACAATATACAAGAATAAGACTTTATTCTTGAGTTATTATGCAATCACCTCTGTTCATAATATGCAGATACAAAACATGACAAAAATATTTTTTGTAATAAAATTAAAATATGTTATAGTAGGTGTTGTTTAACTTCTACTGTATGTTTTGGGTTTCTTTTGGTTCCAAGATGGCAACCCTCCCCCCCCCACAAGGAGTACTTCTGGGAGGCAAGGGGAGGGACTTCTGGTGGCAAATGTCAGAGGTTAGGGGTGGAACTTCTCATCCCAGATAGGAACCAGAGGGTGGGGCACCTGTCAAGGGGCAGGGCTACCCTTGCAGACACCCAAACTAATTAAGCAGCCCTCTAGCCAAAATATCCATCTCTACTCTAGTCTAATGGTTGTGCCATGCTGTTGAGGGGTTCCAGTTGTACTTCAGGATGTTTTTTTCTATGTGCTTTATTTCCTGGTTATTCAATTTTTTTTTTTTAATAAACAGTCTTAGGAGTAGGGACCAGAAACCAGATCTTTCCCACTTCTCAGGTAATTGTTCTGGTCACTGGGAGACATGGTCCATGAATACTCAGGAGAATAGCTTTAAAGAAAAGGAGTTAGCACTTTCCCAGCCCAGAAACAGCACTCTTAGGATAATGGTGGTTAGAATTTGAATTTCTCAGGCAGGGGGTAGAATTGAACCCAGCCCCCTGCTTCCTGGGTGAGTGCTGTAACCATTGGAGCTCTCAGAGACATGAGGATCTTCTTCCCAATCACTACCTCCTCCTGTGTCTTAAAAGAAAATATTCTGGATTGTAATGTTTTTGAAAGAGAAACTCATGCACTTGCCTTAGAGGTAAGGGTTTCAGCTGTGAATTTTGAGTGGAGCAAGGGATCTTTTAGAGCACAGACTCAGCTCTAAGCACTAAGCCCAAAAAAGGGGCAGGATTTAAGATATGTCTCTCTCCTCCTTACTTACTATTCCCTAGCTTGGGCAGGCCTTCTTGCTCACTGTTTTGAATTCCATCCTATGGTGTAAAGCACAGCCTGTGTATTGCATAGATGTAGGCACCAAAGTGGGGGCTATGGATCTTGTTATAGTGGCTAGATGCCCAAGTGGTTGATGGTGCAGCACTGTGCTGGAGTCTCTTTGTGCGTCTGAGCGAAAGCTTGCTCACACAATGTATGTGGATGAACAGAGTTAAACCCAGGTATCTCAGGCCCCTGGCTAGTCAAACTTTTTTCTTTGGAGTGTGTGGGTCCCAGCAGCAGAGTTCACAAAAAAAACCTCTGCATGTTTTCTGAGTGCCACATTGAGAGAGGAAGGCATAGATATGTTAGGGTCCAAGCCACCACAGCACAAATTTGCAAGTCAAAACTGCATCATGGAGACCATCAAGCTGTTTATGCCTTTCTCCATGTGGTGTAGTAGTCAGCTGGGATTGACTGCCCTGGCATATGTCTCAAGGCAGATGTTGGAGGGTATTTCTTCCCATAGCTGTGTTGTGCTCTGAGTGCTTTCCACAGATTATAGCTTCTTTAGCTGAAGTGTTCTAGCTCATATCTACTCTCCAGCCAGCCAAGGAGCCTTGTTCTAACTGACCTTGAGAGAGATTTTAAGAAGTGTAACACTTCCTCCTGCTTTTGCTGCTCAATTAAAGATGGGCTGTGTGCTGAAAGGTGCCATCCAGAGTAGAGAGGATGTAAGACTGGTCCCTTGAAAGCATGTTTGTATGTCTGT